GTGTTAGTGGGAGAACCTTGGATTCTGTGCCATCTACACATGGATGCTGGTATGTTAGGTAGATTAGGTTAGGCAAGTATCTCTCTAGAGCATCATCTAAAATACATACCTAAAGGTTGTTTGCACGACATGAAGGCGCAAACTGGTGGGGGAACCGCAACGCTGGGATATTAATTAGTGGTACATGCGTGCATGAAGAGCGGATTGGTGCGCAATTACCTTGCCCAGAATTACTTACAGTCAGTCCGCGTATTGTAACACAAACGTGTACATGGTACCTAACGGCGCACACCGTATTTTTGTGCTTTTGAGTGGGAATACTATCCTACCCGCCTTCCACCTCCCTCATCTACCTACCTGTATCGTGACATACTCAGGTCAGGGCATCTACACACATACGATACCATACCTGCCTACACGCATCCATCCATCCTTCCTGCTTCGCAACTTGGGGCATTAGCGAGGCGGGTGGCGACCCAGGTGAGGATGAGCATCTGAGCCGGTGACCGCGCCTATTATGCAGCCCTCCGGATCGGGTACTCGCAATCTGCATGTAGAAGGGTCCCTCCAATGATGCCTGCCAGCGCATTTCCAATCTGGGCTTCATCTGCGTCTCTTCTACTACATCTTTGATCTCATCGGCCTTGGATAATGCATGCATGTACAGATGAGAGACCAAAATGCTACCTAGATATACGCGCCATATCTTGAAATCAGGCAACAGAAGCGAAACACTGTTTCACTCTAATAAAATGGAAAAGAAGGTAAAGGGAGAAAAAGAAACTAAGCTACATAAAAATTTTCTGGTCATGCGGTTGGATCTGATCGGCCTATGTCATTCTGTAGTAAAGAGTTTTATAAATGATAGAGCATCTTGTTCCAGTTCGAGTGACTTGTCCGTTCTCTTGCCTGCCTTCCCGCCCTGGAGGGTGGGCGGCATTAAGTTCATGTTGACTGAGACAAGATGATGGCATCTACCCATGCTAAATATCGGATACGTCGTAACCAATTATGTAAGTATATCTATATGTATATAGACATCATGAATGACGCCTTCTGTCTCTGAGTAGTCGAGACTACCTTCCCTCTTAACACGGAGTTAGTCGCTTGCGCACTCATGCGCTTTTCCGGCGTACTCTTTTTTTTTTTTTTTTTTTTTTTCACACCCATCCTCTTATCGTTGCTGAAGGAACTCCAAAGCCCTTGGAATGGCAATATCGGCTCCCCTGTAAGCCTATCTATAAATGGCACTTCAGACTGGCTAGGCCTTCTATGTCCGTTAATTTGTACCCTAAGATACACTTTACCAACTCCGGCCTATATCTCTCCTTTTAAGTGGTCTGTAGCACTTTTATTTCAAGTCAGTTTTTGTAACGAGCCCTATACTTATGGGTAGGTAATAGACTACGTTGTTGCGCAAGGGTCTCTAAAACACTTTCATACGTACTATCTACTATATACACAAACAGTCTCTTTGTTCTGAGGCCATATGGCAGTTTATTCTAACTGAAAAGGGGTCGAACGAGCATATCACAGGCGGCAATGAGCAAGCATTCTACTGTATAGGTGCGGTAGCTTACTGATGACTAATAACTATATCTATATCTATCATTGAGGGTAATAGGTCGCTAGGGCCTGATATACTCTCTCATCTAACTACTCCATCTAGAGCTTATGTTATAGACGATGGGCTTCATGGATATGAAGGCGGTAGCAATCCCGCCGCTAGCTATCATATATCAATACAAGTCCAGGACGGCCCCGCTTCATTATTCAATATGGGTTGAAAATACCTAAGTGACTATTTGCTGGATCGGGATTGCCAGACCTCAGGCATCCAGGTCTCTTATAATAAAAGCATGTGTGAGAGAACCAATCATGCTAACTGTAGCTATTAGGTTGCTTGACAATATCGCCCACCTAATTAACCCACGTCTCTGTTTTCACGTACAGATTCTGTCGGAAGCCCTATACCAGGGGTAGTTGATGACTATTGTTTTTGCGCGGAGGCCTCCTAAGCTACCCTCCTAGATGCTATCAGTCTAGTTGCCTAGCAGTTACGTTCTGTGATAAGTTTGCGTTGACTCGTTTAGAAATCATATAGCGATCTTCTTTGTAGAAGAAAAGCCCAGCACGTTAATTTAGTCCTAATTGGTTAGAACAGGGTCATGTGTCTAGATATCTAGACTAGAGAATGTTAACCTTGACACATTATGTAGAAGGGAACCCAACCCAATTCGAACTTTGTGATAGTTCACCTACCCACGTGAGGTTACGGGTTCTAGTTTGGCAGTGCGATTGACACCACCGTCGAGGGATCGTTGAGACACAAAGAGTCTATTGATTTCTATGTTTGGCTGTCGGGTGCTGCTTGGAGTTCAATTGAACATTGTGTCAGTTTGTCAGCTTGCAAGCGAAGTAAAGCGAAGTAGTGGTGCCCCTATCTTCTCGGAACTCAACATCACAAGAGGTATTAGCATAGAGCTCCGGGGACCAGCGATTGGGTTACTAGGAAATGAATATATCATACAATAGAAAGCTGCTCCGACGGAGACACAGGAGGTTCATCTCATTCTATGTACAGGTAAATCTATCCAGGCTCAAGTCAACCCAAATCAAGTCGCTTTAGGTTGCAAGCAATACCGCATGCTTCTCTTAAGTATGGCTAGGTGTATATCTAACACAATCAACCGCCTATGTAAAAACTTTACTGATTTTTTACCTTGCGGTACCGGATCGCCTCCACGCCGTCATCGTCGATGATGCGCGTCGCAACAATCTTGTAGCCACCAATAGCCGGCCAGATCTTAGTCCAGCAGACCCAGTAGAAGGCACCGAGGAGCAGGACGCCAACTCCGACAACGGGGAAAACGTAGTACGGATATCCGTCGGCATTCCAGCTCCCGTTCGGAGGGATGAAAGGAGTTACCGCTAAGAAGATGTTGGCTAGGAGATAAACGACGGTAATCGGTAGATATGTATGCCACGGCGACGACCAGTTCTCAGACTTTTTCCATTGCAGGTAGATCAGCCCACCGCAGACAAAGCCATTGATCCAAGATCCAGGATACGTGTATAGATTGACAATGAAGTTGTACGCAGGGCCAGCAGGTGGAGCGAGCAGTACAATGACTGTTACGATCCAATGAAGGAACAGCTGCACTCAGTTAATATGATACATAGTTCTAAGCTGGGGGCTAATGTCACTTACTGCAGGGGCAGGAGCGCCAAAAGGCTTGATCGAGGCCCAAAAGCGACTAAAAGGCAGAAGAGCTTCCTTTCCAAATTCCTGATTCAACCGGGCATGGGCAAAGCTTACGGCAAGGACGTTGCCAAGATTGCTCAGCGCCACAAATACAGGCAGACTCTTTGCGCCTGCGCTGTCGCCAAATACGTTCTTGAAGAACAAGGCGGCAACAAGCACCTCAGAGGTGGCTAAATCCTTCTTAGGAATCGCAGCGAAGTAGGCGACGTTAGCAAGCACGTAGAGGATCGTAACACCGCCTATGGCGAGGGGGGCAGCGACAGCCAGCGTCTTACGGGGGTGTTTGAGCTCGCCGATAACGTAGTTGGCGTTCTCCCAGCCCTTGTAGCTGTATACGACGTTGAGCAAAGCATTCGCATAACCGTAGACGCCCGTGCCGCCATAATCATCCGTCACTTCGAGCTCAAATGCGTTGTGGAAGTTGTTAGGCTTGGGTACACGGAGATGGCCGGCCAGGGCAGCGAAGCCCGAAAACACGATGAATAAGAGGATCACCACTTTGAAGATGCCCAGCACGTTGACAAGGCGAATCCCCCATTTTGGAAAGATCGCATGTAGGCCGACGGCGAATGTCGTTGCCGCGACGCCGATGCCGCGAGCGGCCCAGCCATCACCCTGGCCGCTGCCAGACGCGGCCAGAACATACCGCCCGAAAGCCAGCGCATTGCCTGACGAGAAGCCCAGCAGGATCATCTGCGATGCTAACACGCATGTGGCGAGGTAGCGAGGATGGCGGTAGATGCGCTCGAGGTAGTTTTTTTCACCGCCAGACCTGGGAATGGCAAGGCCAAACTCGAGCCATACGCTGAGGCCACAGAAGGTAAGGACGCCGCCGATCACCCATAAAAACAAGGACACACCGACGGAGCCCGTGGCAGCAAAGATGCTCGATGGTGTTGAGAACACTAGCTCTTGTGTCAGTGTGCGCAAGACGATTTGGGTCAACAACGCGACGGCATGAGGATGGACTCACCTCCTGTTCCGATCATCTTATTCAGGATGAGAAACGTAGCACCGGTGATACCAATTTTTCGCGACTCGTCGTAATCGTATTTCTGTACATTGGTGACAGATTCGACATCTGTGTTCGTTGGCGAGAACCCCGACTCGGGCTCCTTGACGATATCGCTACCATCGCCCATCTTGTTGTCGCCCATGGTCCCGTACGACGCCATCCGCGGTTGGTGACGGGCAGAAGAGGTTGAGAGGCGGGGGATAGAAAACAACCGGCAAGTGATATGCTCACCTTCTTCATTCATACTTTATATCCACAGTTACTCATGTCGCACGGTAGAGCTCATTTGGACAGCCAATGGCGCCATAGAGTTTTCTTTACGTAGCATTTGCAGCATAATCAAAATCTTGGCGAGCACGCCATACCACCTTTCGACATCGCCAGAAAGTCTAAGGTCGGTACAGTCACTAATAAGGTCAATTCCATATTTCCAAATTGAAGGTGTAAGCGACGTTAATGCGTGGAAGATTCGTGCTAAATATCAAAAATTCACATTGCACTTGGGTTGTTAGAGGTTGTAGTTTACAACTATGTGCTAAATAATTAAGCATGTAGCTAGGCCCGAGCTACGAACTGGGACACTGGAATACCTAAGTAGTTTACAGCTCACTTACTCATGATAAGAATGCTAAAGCCACAGATCCAAGCCACGAATTAAAACCAGACGCCCCATGGGCATTTGCTATACCTAGATAAATTTTTAGGGGCGTTTCCTAATTGGTTTCTGTGGGGTAATGGTAGCCCGTGTGGACATCCCTTCCGGGGGTGCTATGCGCAAGACGCTGGTTCGACCCCGGCCAGAGACTAGCCAAAAATTTGCAACTGTTTTTTAATGCTGATATCTAGGTATCCCTCCTTTACTCCATGTACATACAATACACAACTAGAAAGTTTACATTGGTAATTTATCCCCATATTGTGTCATCTTCCTTTCTATGCATATATCCTCGTAGGAGTACTCGCGTGGCATAGAATCCTCATGAAAGAAGTATGCTAGAAGGAAAGCTTTTAACTCTAGAAGCTGGCCCTTGCAGCCAAGCTATCACGCAATTTGATCCTTATCTCACATTTTGTCCTAGCACTAAAACTTCTCTGTTCAACAAAGCCACTAGCATAGCCCAACCTGGAGCCGATGTCCCTAATATCGCGCTTCAGGATGACAGTATATAAATATGAGAATGCCTAAGAGCCCCTAGGCCCTCATCGAACGAACCCCTTTCAGAGTGCGAGCTCTCTATAGTCCGCAAAACCGCTGCCAGCCTTCAGCTTCTCGTCAGCTATGAAACCGGACTTGATAGCCATGATGACATGATGAAGTTATACACCTCCTGCCCTGTCCGGCTAATCGGTTGGCCTCGGCACAGGGTGCCAATGACGGCCAGGCCGAACTCGTGACCGATAAGGCAAAGCGACTGACACTGGACAACCCATCCGCCGATACTGTTGACCCTAAACTATGCTGGTACTGGAAGCAATCCTCTCGGTGTTTTATAGCGCCTTGGTGAGCATGTTGAGGTTCGCCATTGAAGGGCCATGAACCCCATCTAGTCGGTTACTGTAGCGTCATTATTGAGTTCAAGTCATCCTTCCGCCAGCTGACTTCGGAGACTTGGTGAAGCTCTGTACTCCTCGCATGGGGCTTGCTCCTCTATCGAGTACACACAGAGTCGCTAAACCAAGTCAGAAATCACGCCTGACTATGGATGGGCCTGGGCCTGTTGTAACTCAATCAGTCGTCTCAATAATTGGCCCAGACCGACGCTTGTACCCCATCGAATAGGCCAATGATGACCTTCTTGGCTTACAGCCTCGGCACCGTTGGAGCATATACTTTCATAACAGCTACGATGATGTGATTCTCGTACCCTTGGCGGCGGCTGTGGCGAATATACGGCCGGGCCCGATTTCTCTTCGAAAACAACGCCGATTTCATATATCATGGCTAATGAAGCGAACAGGGAACCGCACCTCATATCTGATAATCTAACCCTAACTCGATCCTTCACTGCTTCTAGCCAAGCCAACTAGGTAGTCACTGAGTCTCAGCACAGTCTCCAGAATACGAGATAGAAGAGTCCCGCCTCGAAATCTCAGGTCGGCTCGTATAAGACCCATTATGGTTTGGCAAGATTGCGCCTTGCGTTAGAGCACGGTTCTCTCCCTCTTCTATGCGCGTGGTGTTCCTGTTGTGCGCACCTCCCTCACGGAAGATTTTAGCCCTCCGTATCCCTTGTGATACTAAGAATGATCGGTCGGACTCACGGAATGACTTGTCTATTAAAGGCCCGATCCGAAGGTTATCTTAGCCTCCGGCAAGAGTACTACTCACCTTCGATGCTAGGTGCCGTTAACGTTGTGCCTCGGCAAACTGACGCCCTATGGTCCTGGGTTAGCAAACTGTTAATTCTTATATGTTTTGGTGAGGAGAGGGGGTTCGTTGGTAGTACCTAGACTCCTGGGCATGCATGGTTCTTCCAAGTAATAGCTGCGTCGGCCCTTCTCACCTCGCATCTGATTGTCCTCTCCTTTGGTCGCACAGATCCGTCAATCCGCCTATTCGTGCGAGTCGCGTTGGCTGGGTAAGGTATCTATCGGAAGTGCTCACCCACCAAGGGCGAGTGATTCGTGGACGGTGTTTTCTCCGTTGCTATAAGCGGTTAACGTTCGACGTCTAGGTTGTGATAATATTCACTAAGCCATTAAGTTCCGGATATCTCACTTTCGTGAATGACCTATCCCCCGGCATCTTCAGGCGCCTCAGCAGCTTGACGTCAAATCCCGAAGTCATGCAACAGTTCCCCTAGATATGCGTCAACTATTAATCGGTAAGGGGCTTGGTACAGCACTTTACTAGTCTTACGGGCACATCTATCACTTGATGATTGAAAGACTCTATATGAGACACCTTCCAGGAAAGACCTTCCTGGAAAGGTCTTCCTGAAGAAGCCTTCCTGAAGAAGGGTTCCTGGAGACTGCGTCTCCAGTATGTAGTCTTGGTGGTAGGAATCCTGTAGACATTCTTAGCAATCAATAAATCAACTACTTTACTACCATACTACCTGGCCTACCACTCTACGTACTCTCCATCGATGAGTAGATGTCTATCCTTTTATCAACCCTGTCATCTGTATGATACTTACTGTCAGGAGACTTATGTTAGGGGTAGGTGATGACTATTTATTATTGCGCGAAGGTCTCCTAAGTTCCTTTCCTAGAGACCATCAACTATACCCAGGTGTAGTTTTCTATGTCAATATGCCCTGTGATGCTTCTGTCCTGCCTCACGGCGTAGTCTATAACACTTACTTATCATGTAGAGTATATCGCACTTTAAGTTTAAGATCTTTACAAAGCCTTTGACCATGTTAAATAGAGCAACAAAGTGTTCCCAGGCGAGATGAGCGACTGCCTATTACCAGAATAGCGCTCGATAGTAGGGTTTTGGATTACGCGAGAAGCCATGCCAGAGCACGCTGAGGCGAAAGAGATCACACTGCCCTCACCCACCAATTTTGCCTTCACATGAGAAATCTCCGAGCGTAAAACAGTGATAAATGCATATTGACAGCTAGTACCTTTGAAGCCGAATCCATCGGGAGCTGTTTCCAAACCGATCCCATATCCGAGGTGAGGGGTAAAGGAGCATAGGAATTTCCAAATGATTAATTTTATCGCAGTGTTTGTAGCTAACCGGCTTTTGCCGACAAAGATAGTAGAGGGGTTGAGACTATCCGACGATCGTCTATTGAAAATGCAAGGCGGCTCATCTCAAGCTGTTTGTATATGCCCGGGATTTATGACTTCAATTTGTATACGTAACGAAATCCCTTGAGTGAGGCTTGCATAGAACACAGGGCATGATATCACAGTCTCACCAACAAGACATGGTGTTGGTCGGTGAATGCCCTAGTCTTCTGTGTAGCAGAAAATAATAATTATTAAAAAAATAAGAAATCATTAAAATACGAAATAATATTTTCGTGTTAGTAATACGCTCTACCTAGCTCTTCCTTCTAAGAACTGTTCGTAAAGTTTCTAGCGCTTAGAGCCCTCGAACGATGAGTGCACCTACGGTGCCGAGTAGACCGTGTTGTCTTTGAATGAAACCTATCCGTATTGATCTGCTGTACGAAAAACCCGCGTCGTGAAACAGAATTGTTCACTTCTACGCCCTTCAGTCGCCTAAATGCTACACCCGAGCTACCCCTACGAGTCGTCCCGAGGCTGATTTGACGTTCTCCGCCGCCATGTTATCGTACCTTGCTCTCCGATATGGTTCATTTTTCATGTTCGAGATGTAGCTACGCAAACGTCATGCCTTTCGTAGATAATATCTCGGTGACCGAAATGACGTAGTCCTTCCATGCGATGCTACGTCGTCAAACGTTCGACTTAGAGCGGTTCGAAAACCGCAGAGTCGCGACGTTCGCAATAGTTAATCCATAGCCTTAATCCCGAGGCGGAAAATATACCGCGAAAACTCTGGGTACATCTTAAAATACCCATTCGAGGTAAATGGTTATTTCTCGACGGTTCGCACGTACCAACGCAAGGAAACGCAAGATACGGACGCACGTGAAATAACCAGGTGTTATAAGAGGTTCATGCCCCTAGGATCGTCATGTAAACCGTACGTATAGGAGTTGGTGGCGTCAATACCTAGAGGCTGACTCGTTGCCCCTGCAGGACTTGCCTGCCGGAACGGGCTTCTCGAAGGTGTTGGTAGCCTACGGTGATGACATAATGTCATTGCCTAGGATCACTGTAGCAATCACCACAGTGGCAATATGAAGAATGCCCCGAGTTTCAATATGAGCGCCGTTTAAGATCTTCGTCTATAGTGCTTCCTTATCGTTAGGCACTTCAACCGCCAGCGGCCGTAGTCACAGTCAGTCAAAGCCCTGTCTCTCAGAGGCGCTCGAGATAAGGATGTACGTTTTGGATAACTAGGGGCAGACGCCAGACGGATCGTTCGGCGCAGTCACTTCAGCTGTATTCAGCGTTCATAGTAAGCCCGATAATAGATAGTTGCTATAACCTGAGGTATATTAATGAAAGTTGAACTTTCTATATGCATAGAAATAGAACATATCTAATGAGTAGATTGGCTGGAGAGTTAAGTTCAGGTAATGGATACACCGGCATCTTTAGGTATTGCTCTGGTTAGCGGAAGTCGGCAAATATGTTGACCAGTTACACCATCGCCAAAGGCTGACGGCAGATGGTGCCGTTATTGTGACGTCGTTGGGTAGGATTGCATGCCTTGCCACATGGTTTCTCGCGACGTGTACGCGCTGTTGTCGAACACATGTCTCAGCCGCGGAAATAGGAATATCACTCTGGCATCCAATGGTTCTATCGAGAGGGCTGTTAGCTGCGGGTACTGTCAGAAAGAAGCTTTCCTATCCTAGCCCTGCCTAATAGGTAACCTTCCGAAACCCCAAAACCCCCCACGCAGAGGATCGCTGATGGGAAGCTTAATCGACTTACATCTACATGAACGATATACGACCCATCGATCGACGGGGGAGGCGGAAATTGGCTTGTGGACAGTACCTGGTCGAACTCTTCGAGAACCAACTGCGACATCCTTCGATCTGACCAACAGGTCCGGAAACACGCGACCCTGATCCCCTTGTATTGCATTAAATATGATTCCGAGTTGACGTTGAAACAAATGCTAAGCAGCTGCGAGTGGGACGAATCTGTTTGAAACAACGTATTGACCATGTTCAAGTATACTAAGAATAGATATAAGCACGGGTTTTCCACGTCGGATCGGGAATGACCGAAGTTATTGTTTGTT